AATCATGCCCCGAACCTGAGTCAGCAGGTCGTATCTGAGGGGAACCTCCCAAGGGGGTCGGCTAACAGACTGACCAATTTGAGAACCACGTATGTGTGGGCCAAAACGCCACCACCAACAACAGACGTTCACTCTGACCAACCTTACACTGAGCAGAATCGTTTGGGAGCAAACGGGTCGACTGGAAGGCATAAGACTGGTCCTGGGCCATTCTTGGGCTAGAGCGTCCACACCCAGAGGCGACGGAGGAAACAAGGAAACCAAAGCAGGCAATGCGCATGCTCTATTTTTTAGCAAACAAGTCCACTTCCGCTCGACCAAACCTCTGCCATATGAGACTCACCACCTGAGGGTGCAATCTCCATTCTCCAGCCTCCAAACTCTGTCTCAAGAGTAAGTCCACTCCTGAGTTCAGGTGACCCAGGACATGAACTGCTCTGATCGACAGGAACCTGGTCTGCGTCCAAAGAAGAACACATCTCACCAACCTGCACAGGGGGCGAGACATCAATCACATGAAGTAGGCTGACCATGGTGAGCATTAATAGCTTGCCATAAGAGATACTCTTAAGGCCCTCCATAAAAGATACTCTTACACGTGAACTCATTCACACAGTAGCTCAGCTCAGTGCATCTCAGTTGGGATGAGAAGAATAATGATTAGTTATGCAAATAGTGTTGGTAGCCTGAAGTGCCAAAAACCATGTTGCACGACAAATGGTTGTTGCAAAACTCTACAGAGCAAGCTCATAGCACAGAGTCCAATATTTGTTCCAGCTCAAAACAGCAGTGGAGCTGAAAGAATAATTATTATTAGCCGGGCAGACTAGTGTTTGGTAGCATGAAGTTGTGTCCACTTAAGGGCATACAGCGTCTCGTGGAGGGAGCTCTAGTATTAAGAATAGTGTCGGTAATCTTTGCCAAGAGACCGGAACACATTTCAACTCTGCTCAGGGGTCACACCCATTAGTTCCAAAAATCCTGATGGGGATGTCCAAATCATGCCC